ACAAACTGGTTCAGCCTAGCCAGGTTAGACTAACTTGCAAAGACTAAATCAACCCAGGCTCAGGCTTTTTAATGTCTGTCCCTAGCCCTGTTGTGTTACAGATTTGAACTAGTTTCTGATCACTTACCTAGTGTATGTGTAATTTCTGTCCCTGGCTGGTGCTCAAATCTACAGATCCTGTGGTTTCAGAATACAACATCTGACTAGTTATTTATGCTAACCATTCTAGTGAAAGGCCACAAAGCCCCTTGCTCCTTACAAATCATTTCCATACCTTACACATGTCTCCAGAGCTTCCTATGTAAACTTATCTGAACTTTAGAACAAGTGCTGTGTCTTAGCTAGTTATCAAGTACCAAGCCTATTGTTAGCACATAACATATAATAAAATTAGGCAAGTGGAAAATTTTATGATAGTTGCAACTTGATCTCTGTTTAAAGATCATTAAACATGAGATCAGGGACAATTCTGGGCAGTACAGAAGGTAAACAAAGCCAGTCTGAAATTTCTGCTCCTTCCCAAAGGGAAAAAGATGAGTACAAATCAATTATGCCTGTGTAGGAAGGCAAACTAGAGCTTAAATATTTAAGGAGATCAGATATATGCCAACCTCACTTTGAATAAATTGTTACGGTTTATAAAGCAATCTTAATACTATGCCCTACCTAAGAGCTTGCTGTGCCTATTCAGGATAGTATTTCCAGTGCCACAATGTTTTCTGCAGGCTGTTCTCCCCTCCCAACTCATTTTTCAATTCAGTTGCCAATTAGATGTAACACTCACTGTTACAACTTTTCTTTTTTTAACCTTCCTGGATAATGGTTCTTTCATAGTTGATTATTTCACACTGTGCTCCTTACTTTAGACTGTGAGATGGGTAACTTCATATATTCAAGGCCATTAAAGATTCAGGCAGTATAGAGACAAATGTACTTTAGTTGTTTTAAATATACTCTGCAGCTCTGGATTTGGGTTGGAAAATTAAGAGGAGAAAGAAAATATGGTTTAGTATACAGAAAAGGAACATAGTTCCATAACAGAAATATATTGATTTTGCTGTTCAGAGCTGTGGAGGCAACAAATTAGGTGCCACACAGAGATCAGAGTTCAAGACAGAGATATGCTCCATGCTCTCAACAGCAGCTGGAAAAGATGAGCCTTTCCTTACCCTGGTTTTGAACTGGCTCTACTGACTTCAGTGGAATCACTCCAGATTTACCCAACTGGAAATGTGCAGAGAATCAGGATCATGATGCTCAAATCTGTCCTTATGGCCTGCAATGAACTGTTGCCAGGGTTGGTTTTACTGTGGTTTGCATGCAGCTCCCCCGCCCTTTATAAAGGCAGGGTCATGGAAAGCCAGAAAACGCTAGGTGAAGTTCACAGATACAAAAACCTGCCATGTGCAGCTTTTCTTTGTTTGTAGCCCCATCAATAACAATTGGAAACTCAATGAAAGAAAATGTCTGACTAAAAAGGAACCTTGATTTGCAGCATTTAGAAGACCAGATGGAAATGGGGAACAGTGAGAGCCTGTTGAGAGTGCTCTCTCTGATCTGCTGTATTCTGAATGGGGGATGACATAGTTAAAGGACCAATAAGAAGACGTTATGTTCACTGATCTATTAAATTATCGTATGTTCTACATAGCATGACTTTTTTTTTAAGTGGAGGACTCTAGAACCAGTACTTTTTTCCTCTTTGTAACTCACTTAAATGAATACCAGGTACAAGAAAAAATAAAAACCTGTTGGAAGGCTGCATTCTTCTAAGCAATCTCTGCCTGTGCAGTAAACCCTTTATGGAATAAACACTATGAAATGAATATAAACTCAGACCCAAACTCAGGTCCAAATGCAGAGAGCTTTATATAAAATCATGGGCTTGTCATACGCATCTACAGAAACGCACATAAATCTTTCTGTGCCTTAGCCATCTGTTTTGCCCAGAAATTGCTTAATGTGCCATACAAACGCTTTTAGATGGATGAAAAGCTAATAGAGAACTCAAGGTTTCATAGAGCTGAATCTTACATTGAACTAAGTGTTATTTTTAATACATACCTACAGATGCTGGCATCTCCCCCCACTGTAAAACAGTTTCTTTTGTGAAGTGCCCATATATATCAATGTAGACTCCTTCATCTTCATAGGTGAGTAAAAGTTCTGTTCCGTTAGTATTGGGGAGGATGATAATGGCATGTGGGCGAATAATTCCCTGGATCTGGAATCAAATTGTACAAAGATTTATATCAGGAAATGGATTGAAATTTTAGTGACTGCATCCATCTAAGTAGCTTAGCAGAGCAATAAAAGCAACTGGCTCCCAACTCAGAGAAAGTAAAAGAAATCCTCGTGTTCAGAAAGGCTATATAGTTTGCTAGATAACTTTCAGAGTAGGCTTCCCCACTCTTTTAGATATTATAGTAGATTTGTAAAGAAGTCAATGTTCAATATTTCACTTTATATTTACAAGTCTGCCTTGGTTTAAAAAGGCCAAGGAACATGTGAGACACAATGAGATTTACTGGCTTGTCCAAGAAAGGCTGGTATTATATGAAGCAGCAGAAGGCACGTAAGCAGTACTTGAATTCAAAATTGAT